TCTCAGATATATATATATATATTAAATTTTAGGGATAATTACACACAGATCAACCGAAACATTTATATTTACTAATTGACAACCCAAATGATTTATTTCATTGTATGTATACTTGTATTGCTTTGATTTGGAATTTGTGAAATAAATATGTGTTGGTCCTAATTTCCGTGGTAAAAATCTATCTCAAATCCTATCAAAAAGGCTTCACAAATTAACTCAATTTTATAACCAAACGATTAATGAAGAAAACAACTAATAATTGAAAGAATTATATTATATTAAGACTAACACACAAACCCTATACATGATTTAAGAAAGAAGAAGAAAACAAATGGACTGAAATTTTGCACAGCTGGTTTAACCACAAGCGATTAATTTCTATGACTCTATCCGGACAATTGTAGAAGTTTTGCTTTAAGGGATGGCACTTATTCAGCAAAAGAAAAGTGACCAAAAACTTATATTTTTTTCATTTAAACTTAATAATATAAAGGAAGCAAGACCAAGGGAAGGGATCATGCTTGGTAGAAAAATAGTTTTGAATTTAATTTATTTTTATTGCCCAAAACCCAAATAAATAAAATGATTTGCCATATATGAAAGGGGTATTTAGATGCATACCTCTCAATTCCTATGTATTTACATATCTAACGCCTAAACTTTTATTTTCTTTTTCTTTTTTTCACATTTGTATCAACCAGTTCTTTCATATCACACCAAAAATATCAATATTATGACTTTTAGAAGGTGAAAAACACATTTTCATGCATACGTAAGACAATATGCATGTGTTGAATCCTGATTTGTTCATTGATCACATCTCAAAAGTTAAAACACAAGAAAGGATAAAAGATAAATGAACAATAAAGAATAGAAAAAATGTCTTCTCAGTCAGGCATTTCTCATGAAATCATTTTTCTATTTATAGGGAAGAGGGTACAGTATGTGATTTTACATTTTTGTTCATATTTTAATTAGGGTTGTTTTAGGATCCTCTAGGAATTTCATATGTATGAGTCGATTGCATGACTGCCCTATGACTTGGTCGGCTGGTCTAGCATGACTTTGACTTAGTAAGGCCGGTTTGGTCCGCTAGACTGAGTCGGTGTAGCTGGTTGGTTGATTTTGATTAGCCTTGGGTTGGCAGGATTAACTCGATTGGTTAGAGTTTAATAATCGGTTGATCTAGTCTGACTATCGACCCTTGATCTATAGATAAAAAGTTCATGTTGGTAGAATGAGGGTGGACTGTCGAGCAGAGGGTGAATCAGTGTAACCTGATAGATTGCTAATTCATTGACAAGGGAGTCCTTCTAGATGACCGAGAGACTCTGTTGCATTGTTGATTCTCGACCTCAGATTAGGAACCTAGGGGGCTAACACGCACCAAATGCCGCAAAGCACCGGTAACTTATGCAAGTTTGCATGGCATATGAATAGTATTATGATTAGAGTCCATTGTCAATCTCACAGAGAACGAGGCAATCTCAATTCAGGAAAGTTTCTAGTCTATGATTGTAAGCCCTAGCCTGAAATTTTGGGTTTAATTAAAATCTGACATAATAATCCTAAGTTATCAATAATTACAGTTTAAAAACAGAAAAATTGAAGGGTTCGAGTGTTTAAAAGTTCTCCTTTGAAGTGGTTCAAACATGATTTTTGAATGTGAAAGCTTCTTTTAGATAATCATAGTGACAAATGAGAACAATAATCTTCTTTACCCCCTTTCGGTAGTATAAAGAAGTTTGGCTAGTCAATAGGTTTATTTCCATAAAGCTTAATACTATCTCTATCAAAACATTTTTCCTATATTTGTGCATCATCCTACAAGATATATTCCTATTCTCATAAGCTAATGTGATTAATTTAGTTGATTAAATTATTACCCCTTTTGAGACTCATAATTCACAACAAGTTCTAACAAATCATATGACCAAAATGAAATGTAAAAGAAGATCGAAAAGTTAATCATCATTAGAAACCAAATCATTCAAAGCCATACTAAAAATTTCACAGTCATCAACCTTACTTCCCCACTCCCAAGGGAGACAAATAAGATTACTCACTATGCATACTTAACACACAAACAATCTCATTTGAATAAAAAGAGAAATTAAATGCAAAAGCCTTGAAAGTAAATATTACAATCAACAAATGAACTTTAGAAAGGTCTTATCTCTTTCCTTCACAAATTGAGAAAAAATGTAAATACAAGCAATTGCCTCTGTGTTTCTCATACACCTCACTTCTTCTTCTTCAATTGTTGATCTATTTCTAGCTTTCTCTTCAATTCCTCTCTCAGAAAATGACAGACGAAAATTAATGATAAAAGCTCTATTCTAAATTCATCTCCCCCATTTTTATGTTCTCTCCCCATCATCTCAAAGTTTGAACTGCTCCAAGCCTCCAACTGCCAATTCGATTTTGGGTGCCTAGGCGCCAAGCTCTTGGTTAAGAACTGTATGATGGCGCCTAAGTTCTAGATATCGTGTCGCCTAAGCACCCATAACAGTGCATTGGCGCCCAATGGTTGGCGCCTAAGTGCCAAACTCTTGAGTATGTTGCTCAAATTTAGAGATTTCTAGCGCCAAAATGCCAATGTTCAGGCGCCTAAGTGCCCAATAGTTCATTTATGCTCAACCTCCATTATGTTTCAATTTGATCCCTGATATTTTCTTTCTCTGCTATCACAAACAAAAACAATAAAAACTTTCCTCAAAGTGCAATATCATCATATAAAATTTGAAAATGCATATAACAACGAATGCAAAATTAACAACACATCAGGGGCGTCTACGGAATGGTCGGTGATGCTGAAGAACTAGATTTATTCCTCGCATATGATTTAGCAAGAGATTAGTTGATTCGTTCGCTCGGCTTTTCAGTAGTGGTTAGCTTAGATGTTCTGGTGATATCCAATTGGATAAGTGGGGCAGCTTGGTTTCCTCTCAGTGGACCCTCCTTTTTGTACTTCATTCTTTCAAGGTTGTTGGATCTTCTTGAGATTCATGCTCGCACAATCTTGATGTACATGTAAAATTTGAAATTTAGGTGTTTGATATGCAAATACATTGAGATTGAGTGGCATGCATGTAAATCCTCCTATATGAATACAACATAGTAGCTTCTCACCAACATAGTTCCACTTCATGTATTGTATATACAATGCAATGGTTCCTAGATCAAATGATTGAGATGAAGATCAAAAGAAACGAGATGATGACATTTGAGATGGGGCTTAGCGTTTTGTAATATATAATCATCTCAGTAGACATGTGTACGAGTACAACCAAAAAATAGGCCTTGTCGAGCAGGAAAGATCCACCACCGAAGATTAACTAGGAGACGAGCAACCGTCAAGTCGGCCACCTATACCACCCGGCCTAACATCTCTTGCGCCACCTAGTTGGCCACCTTTACCCGGTCGACCAACTTGGGCCAGCCACCACTTGCCGCTAACTGCCTCCAACCATCCGGCCAACTTTGGCTGACCACCTATTGCCGGCTAGCCACCCGGCTTGCCATTTCGACCTTGTGCGCCACCTCAAAGCAAAAGGACAGCTTGTGTCGACCATCCCGCACTAGCGAAGACGGATCTAAACTAGTTTACCTCTTGATGTCCCCTTAAAATAGGGGCATGCATGTAATTTCCTCACCCCAGGGAGCTTGCTTTCTTTCTCCCTCGCTTGTAACCTAAACTTTTGTCGAATAGAAGGGATGTCGACAAGTCCTAGGACCACCTCTATTTGCCCCTACAGGGAACTCTCTTTCTCTCTCTCTCTCTCTCTCTCTCTCTCTTTTTCTTTCTCTCTCTTTTTTCTCCCCTACGAGGCAACCCTCTCTCGCTTTCTTTTCCTCTCTTTCTTCTCCCCCAGAATCCGATTTTATTCCTTGGACACGCTCCAAAGAACAGATTTGGATTCAACAATATGACTTGAATTCAATCTCAAGTGACTATTTTAAATAAGATTTAAACTAGTATTTTAATTTTGTGTGCTAATTTATCACTTTTACTCTGTTGCAATTCTCTAACCAAATTAGTATGCTTTTTTTTTTATAAATAAACAGCCCTAATTCGAGGCTGTTGGTTTTTAGATTTTTTCAAAAGCATACAATAGATGAAATTCTTAGATTTTTTTTTCATTATTTCGATCCCCAAGGCAGTTGAAAAAAATATTACATATGATTAATCGTATGTAGATCAATGACTGTGATGCGCTAAAATAATATTTGCTCCCTCAATTGAGTTTGAGGTTAAGGCAAGTAATCAACTACATACTCTTTTTGGTTTCTTGTAACTTCAGAAAAAAGCTTACATTTAGAGAAAACAATTGAAAAGTGAAAATGACAAGGTTTTAACTAACTTTTTTAGAAAAGCTTGCTGGTAGAGATAACTGCAACAAATTAAATATTTGAAGAGGGCCATAGCAATTACTGACATAAAAATTCGATTTTAAAAAAACTCGATTTTAAAATTTAACCATTTCTTATTGGAAACGACAACGGCTCTGTCTGCCGCTGCCCATGTGAGCTGCTCTCCTCTCCTTGAGGAAACCATTAGCAGAATAAAACTTGAGCAACGAGGAAAGAATCCCAAAATAGCTTCTCTCTTCTCCGGCGAGTTTAGCGGCAGAAGCGGGTGAGTTGAATGGCAAGACGATTCCCCATTGGGGGGCGGCTGTTTTAAGTAATTTCTTTGCCCTCTCATCTTCGGTTTCTCTCTTTTCTTTGACATATTGCTTTATGGAGCGAAAGTTTGGGTTTTTGGGTTTTTGGTTTGAGTGAAGGGCGGTAGAGTTAAATCTGACTGAAAGATTTGATTTTTGAAGAGGATATAGTTGAGGGATTCGTCCTCGTATGCAAAGATGAGAGCTTTGAGCAGTTTGGGAATAGGGCTCAGCCTTGTATCCGGTTTCCTGCTACTGGCTTTAATTGCAGAGCTCTACTACTTGTTCTTGTGGAAGAAGAGAGTGCCAAACAGAGAGATGGAAAATGACTACCAGAGCCCAATAAGAGAGCTCCTCTACATTTTCTGCTGGAAAAAGCCTTCCTTTTTGAGATCAACTGCTCTCAATCCTCGAGAAGTATGCACCTCTGCACAGATACCTAATGGATCTGATGATGCTCACATAGATTCCGGCTCTAGCAAAGATTTCCTTATTCCGTTTGGAAGTGGAGAGGAAAGTATGGAGGCTGAGCTAATGAGGCTTCACAGTCTGTCCGGTCCTCCAAGATTTCTTTTCACCATAAAGGAGGAGACAAAGGAGGACTTGGAATCTGAGAGTGGAAGGAGTGGGAAAGGGTCAAGAGGGGGCAGCTTGAGTGATTTGCTTCTCCCTGCCGAGACTCCATTTTTAACCCCTCTCTCATCTCCTCCGTTCTTCACTCCACCCTTAACCCCTATGGATTGTTACAGACATCTTGGATTCAATCCCCTCTTTGAGTCCTCAAGAAACGATGATTTGGGCACTAAGGTCAGGTCCTCACCTCCTCCCAAGTTCAAGTTTTTGAAAGATGCGGAGGAGAAGCTTTATAGGAAGACACTCATGGAGGAAGCTCTTAAGGCTCAAAAAGCAAACTTTGGGCTTGTTGAAGATGTACCAAAGGTAAACCAAAGCTCTTATGCCACTTCTGCAGGGACTGATGCTTCTTATTCTCCTTCAGAAGAGGAAGATGGGTCTTTTATCACTATTGTCATTGGGAAGAACAGAGAGAAAGGTCATCATCTTCATTGTTTAGGCTCCTCACAAGTAAATCCATTACCTTCATCATCTCCTATTCAGAGGCGTGCATAATACTGGAGTTCTAAGGAGTGGCAACAAAAATTGAAGTTTTAATGTTTGCTACCATGTTGCTCACTCACCATTTCATATGCAGACTGAATTTAACTTTTTTTTTTTTTTTGTGGGTCTCTTTTTCTTCAGTAAAGTAAGCTTGATTTCTCTTTTCCATTTTAGCTCATGATTTGTGTGAAGTAGTATGTCTTCTTTATACTTAGGATATAGCTGATATGTGAACTATTTAGTCATCATTCCGAGATGATAAATGATGTATATGTAAATTGTTAATGAGAGAAATTTTCTGCTGAAAATCTGAGTAGATTTTTTGTCCAAGTTGCTCGCTTCTCTCACCTCACTGGCGTTCGTGCTTGTCCTCTTTGTGATAAGTAATCATGGATGCCGCCTCCTCTTTTTCAAAAGAAGAGTTAGTGGCCTTCTTCTAGTAGTAAGGCCCTCCCTCCACTTTATATTACTTTGTTCATACTTCTGCTGCAAAAAATTACTGCTAATTATAGGTTGCCAAGCACAAGTAATTTATGTAGGGATTGTTTGCGATCAATTTGTATATATATATATACATGTTTTTTCCAAATATTTGAAATTTCAATGTGAGAGGATATATAAAAACTCAGGAAGCTCAAGGAGTTTAAGTATTTTGAAGGCCACCCGACACTCGTGGAGCTTGAATCCAGGCCGCAAAACCGACAACAACACCATAGATGTCTGATCGATAATAAGGGCCGGTTAGGGAACTTTCCTCACCAGGAGCTCAAGTTCCGTAGCTTGGATTGGACAAAAATCACGAGATGGTTTCCTACTCAGTAGTGACAAGCTTCGCAAAGGGTGAGACAACAATCATCCCACAGAGGAGTCTAGGCGGCCTCCTCCCATAGAGAGGGGACCCAACCAAAGACGAATGTCCAATCAAGCGACCAGGACCCCATGCGATTGAAGGGTTAGAAACTTGCTTCAACGCCCTGGGTATATAACAGTTGCGGCATAAGCCCTCCGGTCAAACAAAAACAATCGACCAAGACGTCATGATTGTCCGACCAATCCCACAAATCCTTCGACCAAACAAAAGCAGACGATAGAGATGCTAAGATTGTTCGACCGATCCCACGAGCCATTCGACAAAACAAAAGTGGACGGCCGAGACGCCAAGTTTGTTCAATCGTTTCCTCTTCTTACAAGTCTGAATCATGTTCATTTCCGGAGATGATCCCCTACCCGAGATTTACAAGCTCCACAAGGGTTAATGGGAACTCATCCTAATGGTGTATTCAAAGGAAAATACTTCGAAGCCGGAGAGATGGCCCAAAAACCCACCATAACAAAGTGCAAAAAGTGTCTGAATAAGAAGTATCAACATTAATTTATGTGATCATCTTTTTTTGTTTTAAAAAATTTCTTATCCCTATTGAGTGGTCTGTATGCAAGTCTGCCGATCTTAAATTGGGTTATTTTACTCATTCGTTGAAGACACATAACTGTGTCAGTAGCAACTCAGAAAAGTACCTCAGAAATGAAGTACATTTACTCAACACAACAGAGCATCAATTATAATAGTTTTGGGCCTTATTTTATGATTTTTTTTTGTATTTTTCTATAGATATCATATAGTTTTTATATAATATTATTTTTTCCTTAAAAATTATATTTGGCAACATTAATTGTTTCAGTCCTAATGTTTTCTGATTGTTGGACCAACACTAAGTTCCCGAAAAAATCATCTGCCCCGAAACTTTATGAGCACATAATTGTTTCAGCCTACGAAATTTTATCTGAAAAACAAAAACGTCACAATATTGTTTATGGTAAATGTTGTCAATTTTCATTGAATAATGTTCTGAGGGATTGAATAAAAATATAAAATTGGTACAAAACTTGATAGTTTTCTTTTTTTTTTTTTCTCAAATACGATGTCTCAAATACGATGGGCATTCTGAACTCACGAAAATATATTGTGTTCGGAGTACAGATGCAAGCAGTATACGGACGATGTGATTCACCGGATGAGCCGAAGAGAAGAGAAAAAGAAAACTCATCGCCCACCAGTATATTGTGTCTGTTGTCTGGAAGCTTCTTGTGTCCGGACTTTAGACGTGATATTTTCTCCTAACTCACAGTAAAATATTACAGAAGGTCAAGTATCTCTACATGAAAATGTGTATTTACTTTTGAAAAGTTAAAATAGTAATATTTTTGGTGATATAAAGATAAAAATAAAGATTAGTTATTAGATGTGCAAATACATAGGAGTTGGATGGTATGTATGTAGATGCCCATGTTTTTATACTTATTACTTGAGCTACCCGTTGGCCAACGGCTAACTTTATGTATTATTATCTAACTGCACCAAAACTCATACTTTTATGTTACTTCTTCCCTTTCTCCCATTCTTTCTTCTTGAAAGAAGACAATTCCATCCCTTCTTCTCCATCAAATTCTTCCTTCCCCAACCAACTTGTTTGTTTCTTATTTGAGATAATATTTTGTTGAGATTTTAGGACTAGACTTTCTAACAAAAGGCCTTGAGACATGTTTAGTTGCATATTTTATGTTTACTTGTTTAGTTTAGTTTCATTTATTTTCTTTTATACTTAATCTTTGAATAGTATTCATGTTTAAAAGATTTATTACAAAAATAACAATTACTTTTTTGTTAGGTTCTATATTTTTTTATGAGTGTGATAGTATACTAAGGCTTTTGTTGTCATTGAAAACTTGAATATTATGATTCCTTAGATAAAATTAATACTCATCATATTTTCAATGTCATCACATTAATTAGGTTTATACTTCAAAATTATAGATAAATTCACAATAAGAGTGATTTTGGGGGTGCTACTAATCAATTTTATATATGCTCGCTATATTTATTTCATTGATGTAAGTTCATATTATGTTAAAATTTTCTCTATTAAATCCATCCAATCAACAATGATTTTTATTTTTTTTGTCTCAAATAAATTTAGAACATGCTAGTTCAATGAGATATTCAGTCACCAATTTGTGTCCTTAATTATGTTGTATTATGGGCAATTAAGTGTTGATAATATTTATCACCTATTTACACTAGTAGGCGAAATTATCCCATATAAGTCCCAAGGAATATAATTTTCTAACAACTTTAAAAGTCCCAAGGCAGATAAATTTCAAATAAGCTTAAAATAAAAATTTTAATCTCACTAAATTATGATATAATTCATAGTAATTTTTTTGTGTGGTTTCCCCCTAAATGATGTTAGGGTTTTATGAGAAATTGTGTCAATTCATAATATTATATGTCAAAATTAATTATATTTATAATAAATACAAACATATGGATAGTATTCTACCCAAACCACTAATTCAACTTAAGATGAGCTAGTCGTGGAAATATCTTAAATAGTCATGACACAATAAACAAGGGACACATCAATATCCCAATAAGTATTAATGAACTCAATAATTAGTTTCAAGTCAAATATTAGGGATTTCCCATATAAGTGAAATTTATTTATAACAACATTCTATGCTTGCCCATACTCGAACCAAAGACTCACACAATCTTCTCATTAAGATATATGTTCTTAGGATGCTTCAATTTTATATTTAGTAGATGTTGACTAGAGACATGAAAAGATGAATAGGGTTTGATCGGCAAGTCCAATGGTAGTGGTGATAAACATGGATCATCTTATGAGGAAGTGAACTCCAGTGTCAACATTTTAGGGTATGATCTTATGAGATATTACTCCAATATAAGTGCTAATATGGAGAACCGCGGGTTTATGAATAATAAATAGGTGCATGGTTATTAGATGACAAGAGAGTAGGATGAAGATGCCAACTTCAATGGTTTATCTAATGATACCCTACTTTCATCACATGAAGATACAATTTGCATTAAATAGTTGGTCCATCATTAATACAGTTAAGGTCATAAATTTCTTATTTAATAAGAAGATTTTGATTATAATGTGTACATAATAAGATCATTCTTCCAAAACATATTTATAGCATTTAGATCTAATTTAAATAAGTTTTTAGCAAATGTTTGGATGATATCTAGTTTGGATATATCACATGCATGCACAAATATAATGATGATTTTCTAACAATAAAAGTATAATTTGAAGTACAATAACCATTTCATATTGCATGTAGTTTGATGATAAATTTATTTTTTTAAAAAAATAGAAATTATTATTCGAATAGAAACCAAATTTAAAGTAAGTTACATCAAGGCTAGGAATGCAATACATATGAAAATTCTGTCAATATTTGATAAATGGGAGAAATTTTATCATTTAATCAATTTGATTATGTAGACCACGTATTCTATCATATAAAAATCAATGTATAGAATGTATTCAGGTCAAAAAAATAGTTCCAATGAAATTTTTAGACATTTGGGCCTTTTATAACATGATAAAAATTATGAGATTGTCTTAAGCATAGAGGGACTATGGCTTTTGGGCAAGTATAGATAAATCTTATCAATTGTTATAGGAATTAATGTTAACAATAATTTATTTATCCTAAGAATTACAATCATTGAATTAGTGTGAAATAAGTTTTGTATTTGGTTTCTTTGTTGTCTCTATTTTATAATTCCAATGGTTCCACTAAGAATTGGTTTGTGCATAATTTTGGATAATAATACACTGCAATTGTAGAGAAATATTCCCATGGGCAAACACATTTTCATTGTTTGAAAAACCTAAGTGAGAGTTTCAAAGAGGTAAAATATATAATATGAATATAAAATATTAAATTTTTATTGAAACAGACATTACATAAAATAGTAATAAAATCTAAACAGTCATATGATGAATGACCAATAAATAAATTATTAAGGAAGAAGCACAACAATGATTAGTAGAATGTGATGTTAAATTATGTTTATTTACACAAAATGGTGGTTAAAGATATGGTACACTAACCAAATGTTTCAGACTATTTTAATGATGTTTTAAAGTGCGTACATGGTCTACCCATGCATACACTTATATATGCAATTTACTGCAACATTATGACACTTTTTCTTAGTAAATGAATAATATTATCTTTCAAGAGAATGAGAATGAGTACATATATTTGCAAAGGTAAAAAATATTTATGTTAATGGATA